GGCCTGGCTTGGCCAGGAGAACCGCTCAGGCTGAGGGGAAGGAAGCAGCTACTCCTCTTGAACACAAAGACTGGAAATGCCTGGGGCCTACCAGACAGCACTCAGCTCACTGTCCTAGTACAGCACTGCGGGGTGTTAGGGCCCCAGGGCCCAGAATTAGAGTCCAGAGCTTTGATGTCATTGCCGGGGAGAGGGCAGATTGGAGGGGGTGGGTTAGACATGGGCAGGTAGCTGGAGAAGGCACAAGGGAACACCTGGAATGTTTCACAGCCCTGGGATCCACGAGCTTCTTGGGTATGGGGCCCAGGCATGGGCCTGGGCAGTGTTCGATGCTGCACATGAGATCACGACCAGGGTGCTTGGCCAAGCCCCGGAGAGAAAACCAACCCATGCTGGGTTCTCTGAGGTCTAGCTGTGTCCAAGAGTGGGGCCAAGAAATGGAGCTGTGTTATCATTTTTAAAACAAATATTATAAGTCTCTGATAGCCCCCGTCTCATCCTCGGGTTTGACCTGCCTCCGCCGGGCTTGTTTCCGCCACACCCGTGCCCTTCTGTGCCTCCAGCACAGTCTCCCAGAAGCGGTCACGCTTCAGATCATGCACCTCCCAACCGAGAATGCTGTCCCCACTCCCAGGGCACAGCCAAGCAGACACAGTTAGCCACACCTGCTAGGACCCGAGGTGGATGCCTGGCCCAAGCCGGCTCAAGCAGATCCCTTCTCTTGGGGATCTAGCAGAGGCTCCAAAACCGCAGTGAACCTCCGCCTCAGGGCCAGCCTGAGCGAGGTGCTCTGTGAGATGCAAAGCAGTGAGGGCAGAGCTGCAGGAGAAAGACAGGGAGAAGCAGAAGGGCGGATCTGATGGCCCGTGGTCCCTGGCGCCTGGCTCACTAGAGCCCAGGGCCAGAACCTGAGCCGTCCTGAGCTACATGGCATACCTTGTATCCTCCTCATAAGATCACTTTTTGACTTAAACTGCCTTCAGTGGTTCCTATTGCTTGCACTGAGAGAGCCTTCACAGAGACGTTCTCTTTCCCTTGACCCCCCCGCCCCGGGCTCCCTACCTCTGCCTCCAGGCACCACGGGTTCCCATCCAAGTTCTCAGGACCCAAGACCCAGCCAGCAAGATACACACCCACCTCCTTAGTGAATTCTGTGGGATGTGGGAGGGTAAGACCCCCAGGGGAAGGCATGTCCTCAGGTAAGAGCCAACCAGCCCTGTTTCCTTCTTGAGAACTAGAGCTTCCTACCTGCCAAAGGCCTTCTAGCCCTTGAGATGTGTCGGGCTTGGTGGGACAGGAGCTAGCATTTATACTGCACTTCCTCCGTGCCTGTGACCACTGAGCAATTAACTCATGTCATCATCAAAGAATGCTACGAGCCTGGTTCCATCATCATCCTCATTTTCCATAAGGGAGAACCAAAGCACTGAGGGCTTAAATGACTTGCCCAGATAACACAGCCAAAGAGAGCTGGGATTTTGAACAAGTAGGAGCTCTCTAGAGCACTCCAGTCAGGTTCTGAAGTCATGAAAGTTTCTCTTTTCCTGGTAAGGCCAGAAAATTAAGAAGAGAAAGTTTCTGTGATGGGGAACGGTTGGTCCCTTCTTGATGCCCTTCTTGCTGGAAAAGCCATTTGAGGGGTCCCGAAGTTCCGGACACCATCAACACTGGGAATCCCTGCTGGGCCTGCCCTTAGACAGGATGGTACAGAGGCAAAGGCCAAGCATGCTAGCACAGGGGCAGATAAAATGGGGCCTTTGCCCCTGCCAGGATGGACCCAGGAGAGGGAGATGCAGGGTGGCTTGTTCTCCCCTCCACGGGCCAGCCTAGGATAAAGCCCACAGACAGCAAGCAAAGGCAAAACCGAGTGACCTCAACTCTCCCTGTCAAACCCACACAGACAAACTGACCCTAGTTACCCTGTCTTGGGGGCTTCAAGACTGAGCCCAGTTAATCTCTTTAACTCATTGATTTAGCTCTCCCTGTGTGACAGGAAAGGAAGCCAAGCTCTCTCTTTTCTCACTGGAGGCCACCACCCATGTAACTTCGGAAAACTTGTCCAACCTTGCCGTGCCCATCTGTGAAACGGGGATAGTGCTTCTTCCCTTGTGGATTGGTCACTGGGATTAAATGAATGAACCTCTGAAAAGTTCCCAGGCAATGAGATGGTGGCAGAATTTAATAAACGGGGATTATTTATTAATAAGGAAGATCAATGCAATCGAGAGGCCAAGCACTGGGTATTCCTAAATAAAGCGCAACGGAAGGACAGAGAAGGGAGCCTCTGAGCCTCCTGTCCTATCCCAGGGCTGCCCACCTCCCACTCCCTGCCACCCCCATGGCTGATCCGCACCCCAGCAGTTCATCATTGCCAACGAGGAGGGCTGCTGACCCTGTCGTGACTTCAATTCCTTTCCCATAACCTGAAGTGCATTAAGGAAAGCTCTTCGAAGGGCTGCAACTAATAAATGAATAATAATAATCAATCAATCAATCAATCCCTAGGACCCGTGCCTCCTTCCCAGCCTGAAGCCCAATGGCCTTATTGTAGTCTCGTTATGAACTTCTGCAGATGGGACAACCTTCAGGGGCTCTATCGACGGCCGTTCTCACTGCCAGAAAGGAGACTTCACCCAGGACAGTCTGGAAGGGGATCCAGCGAGGCTGTGTTCATCCATTGGTCCGTCTGTCCCAGGACAGAAGGACTGAGTCCCCCAGGCACTGGCACTCAGGAGGAGGCTCCGGCCCACACAGAGCCCAGGTCTTGTCCTGGCATCTGCTCAAAGGTTCCTGAGCCAAGGCCGCAGAGCCCTCCGCCTGGAAGCTTCAGAAAGATCTCCAGTTGCGTGCAGGCCAAAGCAGAGACGCATTCTCCACTCCGGCCTGCAGCCCGAGGGCCAGGAGGAACAAAGAGAGACCCTGGGCTCTTTCTGACTTTCTTTTTAACTCTTCTAGATTTATTCGGGTATTTCAACAAACAGAAACTACATCATGCATGGTTACTTTTTGCCTTTGTACAACAAAACTAAGTACTCGGTGTGTCTGCAGATTTCTCTCCTTTCTTTCAGTAACGTCAGGCAGACTTTTCGATGTTATCCAGTTTTGCACAGTCACTAGAGTGTCGCCTCATGAATTATTAAATCAGTGCTTCGTGGTAATACATAATTTCTTATCAATTATTCATGCTAATGTGTGTGTAGTTTACTTAATTGTGTTATTGACGATCAAAAGTAATTTCCTGAAAGTCCTCAAGGACACAAAATTTAATCAGCGTAACTACTTCTCAGATGCAATGCTGTTAAGTATTCTTAATTTGCTCAACAGTTCACTTATTTATGTACCTTTCTGGAGGAAATACGAGTTTAATCAAACAATTAGATTGAAGAGTTAGTGTACATAAGGGCTTGAGCTTACAGCGTTCAACCCAACATTCGTAATTACAGGGAAACGGAAGCAATTCTGCCGCTTTTTGGCAAATCGTTTCATCTTGGTACTCAACAAGCAAAATACAGCAGGAAGAAGGATCTGACTTTTTTTTTTTTTCCTTTTAAAGAGACAGTGTATTTTATCAAATGCTTTGCGGTCATCAGAAACGAGGCACACTACACTCAGGGAGTACCAGTGGGGGGCTTCTAGGTGGGGAGGGTGACAAGGGGAGCAGGGCAATCTGAAGGTGGAACATGTTGATTATAATAACTGAGAGGAAAATAATTGTCATAAAACCAATAACAGTTTGCATGGAAACGCCGTCAGTAAGCCGTTTAAGACCACAACCTTTCAGGTACCAAACCCCCTGCCAGGGAGTGACAGAGCTCACGCTATTGCACATTTTCCCTTGGATCTCTTCTAGTTTACTATCCACATGAGAGAAAACACACCCAGGAGATCGAAACTGAAATCTCTACGAAATTTGGCCCTTTGGAATGAATTCTCTTCGCACCACAAGGAAGCCCTCTTCCCCGTGCTCCATTTCTCCACATACACCATTCTCCTCTTGTTTCCTACCTTTTTTTTCTTCTGTAAAAAAAATAAATCAATAAGTAACACCACTGGGGAAGCCCCTCCATGTGCCAGGGACCTGAGGAAAGGTTGTTCATCCAGATGTGTACAGATGTCGGAGATGTTCGTGGGAGCTTTCTCCTGCTCCAAGGACCCTTGGTGTTCTCTAGATCAGAGGACTGCTTTCCACTGGTTAACTGTCCACCAACCTAGAGGTCTGGTCCAGAGAGGTGGGGCCAGCAGGGGCACTTCGTTGTGGGAGCCCACACTGGCTCGGTGTCTGCTCGTCACGATGGTGGCCCCAGTTCACGGAGCTGGTGGCCTGTCTGATAGGCCCAGCCTCCCTGGCCGGAAGTGCCCAGTGGGGCGCCCCCCAGGACAGGCTGTGCCTTCCCCTCCGCACCCTATGTCTTCTCACCCTCTATAAACTAACTCAGCCTACAACTAATATCCTTCAACAAAAGAAAGGTGGGGGGGGCATTGCTGCTAATCTCGGTGGAGGACCGTTAAGAGTTCATTGGGATTACACCAATTTCCTGGTTCTTCATGGAAGGGGCACAGTCCCACTTCAGAGCACAAGACTCAGCCTGGGGCGTCTCTCAAGGATGACCCACGCCGCAGTTCTTTGGGTTGGTTAAAGACCTTCAAAGGTGGCCCAGGAAAGGGACAGGAAAGTGAGGGGGTGAGCAACTCTACTTCCTTCCAACACTTCTGGGCCCAGATGGAAACCCCAGGGGTCTCACCACAGAGTGGTCTCCAGTGCCCACGAGTTCCATCTGGACTTGTCACCGGAAGCTAGGACAACGCAGCCCCACCGGTAGGACTCCAGAGGCACTCTCCAGATGCCAAGGGAGCTGTGGGTCTCACTTCCCTTCCTGAGTCCGTGAGGAGGCCCTGGGCTGCAGGCTTCCTTTGCTTTTTGGAGAGTTTTCCACAGGGACTGAGGCTGGGAGAAGCAGGGGGCGGGGGGAGGGCACCTCGGGCCTGGACACTCGGGACCCTCATACACTCTTGTCCCCCTCACTGTGTTCCTTGGAGGGAGGATTCTTGTCCTGGCTGCCATCAGGGGGCGCCGGCTTGGCCGCGGGGCTGGGGCTGCTGCTGGCAGAGGGCAGGAGATTGGCCGACTGCAGGACGGCCTCGGAGTGCTCGCGGGCCTTCATGCGCAAGGCGGCCACGCTGGCCGTGCGGTTGCTCTGGCAGCCGTAGGTGGGAAGGAACGACAGTCCCATGGGGTCTGGGACACAGCAAGAGCACAGCGGGCCGCCTGAAAGGAGGAAAAACAACAGGCTGCCATCAGTGCCCACATTCTGTCTCCCGGGACAGGAGGTGGGGGCGAGGGGGCCAACCGATTCTGTTTTGGTTCAGGATCTTAAAGGTAGAGGTGACATGACAAGTGCTCAGGACCCCAGAGATGGGCCCAGTGCAAGAAATCTGGTTGATAACCCAAGGAATCATCAGTGCACTGGGGAGACCTGACCAGTCCTGCTTCCTCACAGACCAACTGGGTGGCCTTAGGCCAATGTCTAGGCTTCACCTTCTGCAAAATGGGAAGATACCTACCTCCCAGGGTCATTATGAGGAGCCAATGAAGAAATCCCACACTCCCCAAACTAGTTGCTGAAACCCCCAAGACCTCACAGGGGCATTGCAGGGACGTTTTCAACCTTTGAAGACAAAAGGGAGCACCACCATTTTTCAAGCGGCTCCCAAGTTGCCAGGACATTAATACTCACTGAGCTGCTTAGACCTAATCATTTAATCAACAAAACTGTTAGGTATTTCCAAGGGCCCAAGAGAGTCATGAAAAATTAACAGAGACCCTCAGGGCACTGTGAACTGAGTTTTAAGAACCTCTGAAGGAATCAGTTTGGAAAGCGCTTAGCATAGGTCCGATGCGTGGAACGGGGCTTGGGAGCAATGGCGTGGCCCCCGACCTGCTGGCCAGAGGGTATAAACCAGCCCAGAAACACAATGGGCTCACCACTCTGCCAGGCTCAGTTTGAGGATCCTCCCTCTTGATGGGCCACCCTCAATCGTGCATTTATTCAGTGACTCTCCGTGAGTGCCCGGCACTCTTCTAGACCCTAGTGACCATCACCAGGAACAACGTAGCAGGACCCGACCTCACGGAGTGCAGGTCTAGTGGAGAGTCACACCGGAGCGCTGAATCCCTGATACAAAGGCAGGTGGTGACACGTGCTATGGAAAATACAGATGGTGCTTGGCAGAGACCTGAGGGCAACCCATCAGGGTGACAGCCACGGGAAAGAGCACGCAGCCAGGGAGAAGAGCAGTGCAAAGGCACGGACGTAGAACTAGAAGTCACCAGTTCAGGGAATAGCAGGGTGTTTAGACTGACCGAAGCCAGAGACCACAGGTGAGGGCAGAAGCAGGCAGGTCAAGGTCATCAAGACCAGACTGCAGGATTCAGGGTAAGGAAACCTCAGCAGGTCAGAGTAGAGAGTGCTGCAGGCTTCTCTGCATCGGGGACAGGGTGGGAAGGCTGGGGGGTAAAGCAGTCCTCGGGGAGAGTGGCTTGGCTCAACTTCACATCCAAATGAACAGAGGGACCATTCCTAAGGTGGGGGCAAACAGAGAATGTTGTGTGTGGGGAGGGAGCATGCCTGTGGAGGAGGAGGATGGGGAGAGCCTGGAACCTCATGGGCCTGCTGCCCCATCTGAGTTCTGAGGGGAGAAGTGAGCAGCGCTCAGCAGGGCTGGCACCACCCCTGTTCCTAGAGGGACACCTGTGTGTTCCATCTGCCGACTCCAGGCAGGTGTGGGGGCAGGAGTCACACAGACTTTGCCCAGGCCAGCTCCAAAGCCAGAGTCCCCCCAGGGGAGCCAGAGATGGACCACCATGACCCTGCCAAGGGCAGTTGGCGGTTAGTGCCTATCCCTAAGGCCTGAGACCTGGGTCCACCATGCCCACTGGCTGCACGTGGGGGGGCAACCTTCTGACAAGGGAGGGCACCACAAAGCCAGTCCCTCACCTCTTTCTGAAAGTGCTCACCGGCTTTGGAAGAAGCAGACCCAGAGATCGGTTGTACCGGGGAACCAAAATTCCTATTTGTCAAATGAATCCGAATTCCTCCCAGTGGCCTCCAAGCCTGACTGGGTTGGCATTGTGTTCTCCTCCTTCCCATGTGCTGGCAAGGACTTCCTTCACATGCTCCCTGAGCATCACGGCAGAGCCCACAGAAAGCTGTATTACCCAGAGTTCTCCCCTTTTTCAGATGAGGAGACTGAGGGTGAATAGTAAGTGGCCAAGTGGGACCTCACCAGGCAAGGGGCCTCCTCCTCAACCATTGTGTCCCTCTGTCTGAGAAGAGCGCTCGTTCCTCTCCCGCTTGGACGCTTCCCTGAGCTCAGCCTGTGACTGAAGAGCCCTGCCCTGTGCCTTGGAATAGTCTCCTCACACCTCTCTCTCTCTTTAGAGCTCCCGGTCACGTTCCAGGCTGCTCAAATCCCACAGCATTGGCCACAAATGGTAGGAGGATCGTTGATGGTTTCTTGACTTGTTTGTTGTCTGTCTCTCCCCCTCAAGAGACTGCAGACGCCCAACAGGTTAAGTATCTTCCTGTCTCGTTCAGCACTCTGTCCCCAACACCTGGCATAGTACCTGCAACAGGCCAGGCCCTTGGAAAATACCAAGGAAGGAAAAAGTCAGGGAGGGCCATCAGCCCTAGTGCCCGTTTGTAGGATCAGTGCTCATGAGGCAGCCTCGGCAACATCCGCGGGGACGTTCCCACCTCCTTTCCTGGGGACAAGCTTCCCCATGCCAGGGCCAGACCCCTTCCTCTCCCCTCAAACACACTGGGGCATCTCTCTCTTCCTTTCCAAGCCTGCTCAGAGACAGAAGGACGCTCACCTTTACCAGCCCCCACGGTGGCCCCCTGTCCCCATCCTGGCCACCCTGAGGGGTGTGTGTTACTCATCCCCACTCTCCAGGTAAGGACACTGAGGCTCCAGGACTAACCGGCCTGAGTTTGTACAGTTTACTGAGAGGTGGGACCATAACCTTCTGGTGGTGTTTCAGTCCCCCGGCACAATAACAGGAGGTGGAAACAGAGCTGCGGCCTCCTACCTCAGTTCTGACTGGGGGTCAATACAGCCGGTAGCAGACCCTAGGACGAGCATAGGACAAATCACAAAGGCCAACTTTACAAAGGGAATTCTGAGATCCCAGGTCACAGCCCCCACACCCCTGGTGGGCTTCTAGCCTCGCGTTATTTCCAGCAGCAGGAAACAAACAGAAAGTCACGCTGGGTCAAGTCCCGAGTCCGTTTTCCCATCGGCCCTCACTCAGCACAGCCACGCACAGATAACACCAGTGACGGCTCAGCAGGGGAGGGGCAGCCTTTGCGGGGACAGTGTCTGTGCCATGAGCCCCAGGACCCATGCAAGAACTGGGGTCCCCTCAGTTCTCCTTCCCAGAGGGAGCTCATGTGTGAGGGGACCATACACAAAGAATGATGGGAATACTGGGCATTTTCCTCTCTGTGTCAGTTTAGAATCCTTCTCATTTTTCTACAAGAAATGTGAAGTTCTTTAAAAATCAGAAACACTACTTTCAATTGTAAATGAATGTTAAGAAGAGGCATATTTGAGGAGGGCCCAGGAGGAGGCTGGGGAGCCTGAGCCGGGTCTGTACTAAAAGTCTGAGGGGAGCTTGCCTGGAGCTGTGGACCGTCAGCAACCTGGGAGGGACCACAGTCCTCAGGATCTACCCTAGGCAGCTTGCCTCGTGTCAGAGCAACCCAAGAGGGTCAGGCTGCTTCTTGCCTCCAGCGAGGCTTTGCTCCAATGTAAGCATCAAGCAGGGAGTTAAACAGTCTGTGACTCGGTGCGGAACATGCCACCTATGGAACGAAGAAGGGCCACTGGGACAAAACAGAGCCTCTCTCCCTGGGATCCACAGCCTACAAGGTCACACGGTGGGCTCCCAAGAAAGCCACCAATAACTACATTCTTGGTCCTCGAAACGCAGACTCAGCCATAAGAGAAATACATTAACTCATAGAACCAAGGCTATGGGAAGGGGCAGAGTCTGTGCCCATGATCTAGTTCACCCCCCACACCAGATGGATGGGGAAACTGAGGACCAGGAACCCAATGACTCTGGGACGCTCTGTGGTTAGCTCTCAGGGCTATGCATACAAAGGAGAAATGTTGAATCTTAAAAAGGAAGGAAACTCTGACACATCTGTAACATAGATGGACCTCAAGGACGTTATGCTGAGTGAATAAGACGGTCATGAGAAGACAAATCCCGCATGAGTCTCTTTCCATGAGATGCCCAGAGTAGGCATATTCATAGAGACGGAAAACAGAACGGTGGTCATCAGGGGTTGAGAAAAGGAGAAAATAAGAAGTTCTTTATCAGTGGGCAGAGTTGCAATTTTGGAAGATGAAAAGGTTCTGGAGATGGATGGTGGTGATCGTTGCCCAACAAGAGGAATGTATTGAATTCTTTTGAATTATCACTTAGAAAGAGTTAAGATGATAAATTTTATCTTCTACATATTTTATCACAATTAAAGATAAAATAAAGTAAAATACATTGTTATAAATAAAACTGTAAGAGCCAAAAGAGAGTTTGGGTCAAGGTCATCAGGATCACGAGGACTGCCCGTGGCTATCGAGCTTCTTTATGGCTCCTCCAGTGAATGAGGACCTCCAAAGTCCCTCGGGCCAAGCACTCCCACACCAGCCACATATCACCTCACATCCATGGGCTAATGCCCTCAATGTCTTTGGCTAAGGAAGCAATTCATGGCTTATACAACCTCCTTAAGCTGGGCTTCTGCCCCAGACTCCGCTTCATGCCTATTGGGTGGGCATTTCCACAGCAGGGCGGCAGACCCTGAGACAGGCATTCAGGCCAACAAGATTCTTTGGCAGATGTCATTCTCCTTCCTCATCTATACCCCAAGCCTGAACTATAGCAAAAGTGTCCTTCCAAAGGGGTCGATGTTTATAGGTAAACTCCTACCCATCCAAACAGCCACATCGAGGAACACCAACAGAGGCAGAGGAACCAATGGAAATCACTCTCTTTGCCCTACCCTTACTTGGAAGACAACTTGGAAGATGTGCCAATCCAGAATGTAGATATGGGCAAGACAGAGAGGCAATCTGTACAACAGAACGAGATCAAAATCAAACAAAGAGACAAATCTAATGTGCCAAGTTTTATCAGGGAAAGGTGTAAAGTCTATGATCTGTGCCCAAGGGTCCAACTGTACGAGAGGGTGGGGCTCA